TTGACCGTCACGATGACATGGTACGCATCCCAGTCGTGGACGATCGTGAGCCCCAGTGCCCGTGCGACGTTGGCGATGTCGACGCTCGCGCCGGAGCACTGGTCGGTGGCCACATTCTCCGGGGTGAGGCCGAGCTCGACCAGGCGGCGCAGGCCGGTGATCAGCGCCTCCTTTTCGCCGCGCTGCGCCACGCCGGCGCAAAACGTGGAGCGGTCCTTGTCGGTCACCTGGCACAGCACGCATAGGCCGAGCACGTGCGTCATGAACGTGCCGTACGCGTGCTTCGAGTTGCGGTTCTGCCCGTGCCCCGCGTCGAAGCCGAGCCGCTTGTCGCCAATCTCGTCGCACCAGGCGACGATCCGGGCGGTGTCCTCGCGGTCCATGTCGAGGATCGAGCAGGCAAGCTCCGCCTTGACGCGCGTGTCGAAGTTCTTGTTGAGGTCGGCGAGCCCCGACACGTTGCAGAAGTCGTGGAAGCGCGAAAACTGGACGCCTGTCAGGTGCATGCCGGCCAACAAGTCGTAGTTGAGAAAGAAGTCGAACTTGTCGCTGCCACCGTCGAGTGGCGCGGGTGGGGTCGGGTTCGCGGCCAGCCAGGCGACCATCTTCTCAAGGTTCGCCTTGCGAGGGGTCCGCTCGTTGGGCCCGACGAAATCGTACAAGATCTGCTTCGCGCTCAGCTTCATCGTGTTGGCGAGCTGCGCGCGGGAGAAGCCCGGGGTGACAAACTCGTGGTGCGCAATCGCCTCGATCAGCTTGCGCCGAAGCAGCAATGGCTCTCGCACGAGATCAGCGCGCTCGTCGCTCGCCTCGGTCTCACCGTTGCCCCGATAGGTGCACTTGTCGGCGTAAGGCAGCGCGCTCCACTCGTCCGCAAACTGCCGGTTGGCCTCGGTGGTGGAGAGGTTCCGACCACTGGCTCTCACTTCAGCGAGCCGCTTGGCTCGGAAGCGCACGAATGCGCCACGCGGCAGGAGGGGGCGCCGAGCCGGTCCGGAGACGGGCGCCGTGGTGTTGGCCTTGCCCGGCGGCGCCGCCACCGCTGGCGCGGCTGTCGTCGGCGCTCCTTGCATCTTCTCCGCGGAAGAATTCCACCGGATGACTCGGCCGCAACCAGCGCACCGAAACGCAAAGCAGCCGACGAATCCGACCTTGCACGCGTCGGGCTGCGCCGTCTCGTGGTGGAGCATGGCGAGGTCGCACTTGGAGCAATCCTTGGCGTGCAGCTGGATGGCTGCAGCGAGGGCGTTGACTTGCTGCACCTCGGCCACGACTCGCCCCTCGAGCGGCATCAGGACATTGCCGTGGCCGGTTCCAGTGCGCTCCTTGGCGTCGGGTCTGATTTTGATATCTGCCTGCACTGTCGGGAGCAAGGGTGCGCTGTGCACCCCACCTCCGCCTGCGGCGGCAGCGGCAGCAGGTGCCTCGGCGCCCGGCTCATCTGGGCCCTCGAAGCAAAAGTCGCGCCCACCGAGCTTCACCGCCGTGCCATCGTCGGAGACACTGGCCGTCGGAAGGGATGACGTCACCTGCACGAGCCACTCACCAACATTGGCGTTGCTGCGGAGCGGCATGGGAGCGGCCGCTGGGTTGAGCATCGCGAGGGTGCTGAGCACTGCCGTGCTGTTCCGCTGGAGCGTCGTCAGGAGGTTGCTGCCACGAGCGGAGCACTTTTGCTTTTGGGTCGTCTTGATCTCGCGCGGCTCCAACTTCTGCTTTGGCTGCGCCGGCCGGCGGTGGCCGCCTTTCCCGCCACCGCCGCCGCCCTTCCCGCCACTCGCTTGCACGTTTGGCGAGCGAGACGGCGGAGCCTCGTCGCGGGGCCGGTCGCGGCGCGGGTCGCCGGCGCGCCCGCCTCCGGCACGCGTGTTGCGGAGAGGAGGGCTGATCTGCATGTCGCAAGGAAGCAAGTTCGGGGGTCGCAGCACGACCTTTTTTGCATTTTTGGTCCGTGCACGGCCAGGTGTTTTACTTCCGGAAATTTTTGCTCCGGCTGTCCGGAGCAGCTGCGATTACGTTCTTTCGGCGGTTTTTTGGGAACTCTGTCGGAATACGATCGCATTTTTGCCTCAAACAACAGTAAGAAGAAAAGCCAATCTCAAAAATCATCGCGCCACAGGCTACCCGCACCCGCCGGCTGCCCGCCCGAGGCATCGCACAACTCGCACACTCTACTCTTCGACTGTGCCTTAGTGAGGAACCCCCTATAGTGCCCTCTCTCGATGCACTGCGATAGGAAATCGCATCCCTTCTCGGGATCGCACACAGGGTTGGGAAATTCTCTCCGAATGAACCTCTCGACGCATTCGGGAAACCTCGCGCGCTGTTTCATGTCGTCGCCAGCGTTTAGCACCTTGTACGCAGCGCGGTAGAGATGATATCGCCCACAGCGTGCCGCTTCATCCGCCTGCTCCGACATGAAAGGCTTCGCCTGCTCGTGCTGCCGCTCGAGGTACACGTCGAAGTGCATATCCTTGCACAGCACGTTCTCGAGGCACTCGATTTGCGCCGACGGGAGCATGCCTGCAACCTCCTGCCCGGCGTACGCGCAGCACATACACTCAATGTCTCCCGGCGGGTCGTCTAGGGCGTCAAAGGGGTCTGCTCGCCGCCGGCGGCGTCCTGCGCCACCGCGTCTGCGTGGGACGGCGCGGCGAGCCTGCGCGATGGGCGAGTCCTGCTGCGAGGAGTTCGACGTCGCCTGCAGCAGGGATCGGCTGTGGTGTGAGCGCGACATGGAGGATATCGCCACGCGGCTCGCGAGAGATCACCTCGGACGCCGCGCTCTGGCGGGAGGCGGGCGTCTCCGCGTCCTCGCCTCCGCCGCGCGCATCCGCAGGGCTCGCGCCATTCGACGCGGCCGTTCCCGACCCGGCGTAGGTGCTCCACTCAGTGGTGCTGCCGGATAGGGGCGTGCGCTCGCCCACACCATAAGACAGCCGGCGGTTGCGCCGTCGCCGGGTAGACCGCGCCGCCGAGCCGTCGGTGGAGGGCGTCACAGACGACGTGACGGAGCCGCCGCCGTGCGCCTCGAGCTCTCCCGACCCGGCGGGCGCCGGCGGCGAGACACAGTCCATGCTCTCGAACTGCTCGTCGAGCCGCACGATCGGCATTCGGGCGTCGGCGGCGCCGTCGAGCACAAAGCCGTCATCCTCCGCAAACTGGAGGGAAACGACGGCGCTGCGGCCGTCAATGAGCGTCCGGTGTCGAACAGTCGCGGCGGAGCTGGCGGCACCGCCCGAGGACCGGGCGCTCTGCATAGCCTGCAGCAGCGACACGACCGCAGCGAGGTCACCCGCCGGCGCAGCCGCCAGCAGTCGGAACGCGCTGTCACGCGTGGCGTGCGCGGCCGCGGTGGGTGGGCTCGATGTCGGGGCGCGCTCGGCGCCCGAGAGATGCGGCTCCGGGCCCGGCATCGGCGGTGGAGGCGCGCGCGCCACAGAGAGCAAAAGGGTCGACTGTTTGCGCTCCCTCGCCGTGAACTCGAAATAGGTCTTTAAAGGCCAAGGTAGGCCGCCTATTGAAATCGAACAGAGCGCTAGCGCTCTCTTCGCGCAAGCTCGCACGGCCTCTCACGCTCCACTGCTGCCCTCTTGGCGGCTCTCCGCCCGCCAGCTCGACCAACTCGACCGCCGAGAGGCTGGGATTGGCCGGCGGCGCGACGCGTGGCCTCTGCTGCGGCCATCTCGGACGCTCAAGCGGCGCCAGCCAGCGGCTCGGCCGCGCATCCTTCACACATGCCGCCACGACCAAGCTGAGCGGGCCCGGTGTCGAGTCATGGTGCGAGATGCATGTCAGGGGCGGCTGTGGCCACAGCAGGTCCACCAGACGGGCGTCAAAGCTTGCCGTCGGCGTGCTGGCGTGGCGAGAGCCGAGACCGCTGCAGAGGAGCCGAGTGCAGTGGCGAGCCAGAGGCTACCAGGGTCACCAGGTGGTAGCCCTTGCCCATTCTGAGCAGGGATGTGCTTTGATGGGGTTGTGCTTGAGCGTGTGTGAAGTGGGAGTGCGTGCCGGCGGTGTCTGTGGCTGAAACGGGCGTGTGTGAGGCTGCAGAGCCGTGGTATGAGCCAGAGTGAGCTTCATCACCCAAGATAAGTGCGGTTTGGGACGGCTCAGACTTGCTGCTGATGGGCCTGGGCCAGGAGAGCGACAGAGAAGGCGAGGTGGTGAGCTGGGAAGCCGCTTTGTCGGCACCTGGACGTGTCGCGATGAAGTGCCAAAAAGTACTATTTGCGGCTATTGCTCCAAACTTCGGGAGACAAGGCCTACATATTATGACTGCATCCATGAGCCTAGTGCATGAGGGCTGCGGGTCGGGACATTTCACGGTCGGTGGCGCCGACAATGACCTCCGTAATGCCCTCGCAATCGGCTCGGATGGGGTCCACCGGGCACAATCTCGAGCCCTCTCCGTGGCATCACGAGCCGGTGTGAGCTTGAAGACCCGAGGTAAGTGCGGTTTGGGACAGCTCAGACCTGATACTGATGGGCCTGGGCCAGGAGAGCGACAGAGAAGGCGAGGTGGTGAGCTGAGAGCAGGAAATAGCGCTTCGTGGCACTTTTATCGCGACAAGGTCACACGCGGACTCTCCAGCCTCTCAGCTCACCACCCCGTTTTTGCCCATTTTGGTCATCCGTCAAAATATCTGAAGATCCTACTATAGGATTCTCCCCAAACCTTGCTCAGCTGATCCAGCACGGGCCGTAGGCCAGCCCTGGCCAAAGAAACCAGCACCTCATCAGGCTTCCCTGAGCGTCACAGCTCGGTGATCGCGCCGGCCGGACACCACTGAGACGGCCGTTCCGGGCATTTGAACGCGACCTTCGGGGGCAAAGACATGGGCTCTATGGCTCAGACTGGACTCCTTTTGGTCCCTTCTGATGCCCTAGGCCACACCTGGGCCTTACCTGGGGTTCTAGGGGCCGGGCAGGGTTTGCCCCCCGAAAGTGGCCCGGGGAACCTTACGCGCATATCTTTTTCCAATGCATTGGTGGCCGACATGCTATTCGCAGTCGCTCCGTGGTGGCATTTTCTGCCCTTTCCGACGTCTCCGTCCAGCCGGCTGCGCTGCGAGACCGCTGTGCTGCGCGAGTCGCCGCGCGTTCCCGCTCGCTGGCAGGCGACCCCGGACTGCGAGCGGCCCGTGCGATGGCGGGAGGTGCTCATCACGGACGAGGACTGCAAGCTGCAGAGGGAGGAGGCGGCGGTGGCGGCGCAGGCGGCAGCGGCGCGCGCGGGGCAGCCAGCCACCACGTACTCAGAGCTCGTGCCGAGCCTCGTGACTGTCGAGCAGTTTCTCGCGGCGAACGAGCGCGCCGAGGCTCGCGGGCGGCTCCTCGCAGTCAAATTCTACTCGCAGCGCTGCCGCGCGTGCCTGCGGATTGCAGCCAAGTACCGGCGGCTCGCGCTCGACTTCTCCTCCGGCGTCGACTGCTACGAGGCGGAGCAGCGCAGCGCTCGCCCTCTCCTCGACGCGCTCGGCGTGACGTCGGTGCCGACGCTGCAGATATACCGCCCGCACGGCGTCGTGATGCTCACCAGCGGAGCCTACAGGCCCGAGGAGCTTCCGCGGGTGGACAAGCGCGTGCGAACCGCCCTCCGCAGCATCCGTGAGCGGCCCGGCCTCTGGCTTAGCCGGGGCGAGCGCCTCGAGGCCACCCTCCGAGAGCAGTCCTCCCCTCCCTCCACGCGCCCACCCTAGGCGAAGGGGACGCACCTATCGCACTATCGGCCTCTGTGCTGTGTCATGCTGGGACTCTCCCGCCGCTGTACTCGTCCGGGCCAGGTGCCGCCGCTGCCGCGCCTCCCGAGCCCAGGCTACGTACGCACGTGTGTTGTGGTGGTCTACATTCTGTGCGTCACTTTGGATAAACTTGGGCGCACAGCACGGCGCGGCAAGAGCACTGTTGTAACACTGCGTAACCTCGCCACATCCCCAAACGCCAAAAAGTGCAAAGAGAGAAGATGAGAGAGGCCGCGGGCCCCCGGTGTAGAGGGTCCTCAGAGGATTGAGGCATCGCTTCAGTGAGAACGATACGGGACACGAGGAGTCACGCGGACCGACTCGTCGGCGACTCTGCTGCACGCCGTTTCAGAATTTTTCTCAGCGTGAGCGAGACGTGGAAGAGTGCCACCGTCGGGTAGGACGGGTCGGCCCGGAGTATCAGAGTAGCCGTCGTGGTCGCGGCGAGCAGCGCCGGCCACTCCGGCGCCGCGTCGGCAACATGGGAGCATGTCCACCGCCACTTCGCGGTCGCAGCGCTGTTTGTCGCCCGAAACGCCGCATGTACCTCTGGCGGGCCAAAGATCGACTCGCATGTCGATTTCGACTTGACGGCAGCGCATGGAGGCATCACGTCTCCATGCTGCCGTCAAGTCGGAGCCAGTCTGCGGCGACCACAGCGCTTGCAGGAGGTACATGCGAGCTTTTCAGAGTCAAGCGATTGACATCTCGCCGTCGGACGATGCGGCCACGGTGCGCATGAAGGCGGTCAGGTCGGCAGAGGGCGGCCAGCAGGGCTGCGTGCTGGCCACCAACGGATGCTGCCTCCCCTACCAGAAGGCGCTGCGGAAGACGCAGCTCAAGTACCCCAAGGCGGAGTTCGTCATCCAGGCTGACGACACGTCGATTAGGGCGGCCAGCGCTGACGCCGAGAATGTGCACAAGGCGCTCAAGGCGAACAGGAAGGCGCTCTGCAACACGGTGTCCAACGTGAAGAAGGTGAAGTACTTTCGGCCTGGAGGCGGAGTGGAGGGCATCCCAGCGGAGCAGCTCGAGATGCAGGGCGGCGAGCTCGTCGGCCTCAAGCTAGTCGGCGTGTACTTGGCCCCGGACACGGAGGCCGGGCGGAAGTGGCAGCGCGACAACCTCTCGGCTGACTTTACGGCGCACTTTCGGTCCTCGAGAGGGTAGACCAGCTTCGAGACGACGACAAGAACCACGATGTCCGGCAGCTGCGGTACTCGATGATGCGCTGCCGCAGCTCAACGCCGTTCTACTGGATGCGCACGATGTACCCGTGTGTGGTCCGGCCAGTGCTCGAGGAAGTGGTTGAGCCGGCGCTCAAGAAGTCGTTTGTGCTGCTGGCTGAGGCGGGCCACAGCCCGCATGAGCTCATCGACCAGGCCTGGGCGGAGGCCCAGCAGGACGGGCGCTTCGGTGGCTGCGGCCTCGGCGGGCACGCACAAACGGCGGATGCGAGCTTTGCGGTGCAGCTGTCCTCTCGGTCTACCCGTCACTACGTGACACCGTCGCACTGCGGGGCATGCCCCTCTCCCCGGTGGCAGGGGAAGAGACAGTGCTGATGCTGCAGCACTTTGCGCAGCACTACAATGACATCAGCCAACGGCGTGGCGATGTCGCGCGCATCTACGGGGTGCGTGCACAAGACAAGGAGTTTGGCCTCTGCCACACGTACGAGCTTGGCCGCTTCTGTCCGTCCATGCTGCCGTCGGCGCGGCGCATCCCGCCTTCACGCAGCAGAGCACCTCTCCAGTCCCGAAACAGGGCACGCTCGCTGCTGTCGGGGCCCACGAAGCGTGGATCGCGTGCCTGGCGGCGTGCGAGGAGATTGACAAAAACACGCCGCAGTCGGAGGCGATTAAGTCCAGGGAGGCGACTCGCTACATCTCGATCTCCCAGTTCGGCGCCGCTGGATGGCTCGACATGCGCCCTGATGGACTCCACCACACGAAGATGGTGTCGGCGATGTTCCTGACAGCGATACAGCGCAGGCACGGGCTCTACTTGTCGGTGATTACGCCCACTCTCGTCGAGAAGGCCGCCGCGGGCGTGCATGTCACGGTGGTACAAGGGCGACTCCCTCGCCAACTCCAACAAAGGCGACCGCACCTCCAAGCACAACGGGGTGCTAAGGGCCGCCCAGAATGCCATCCGGGCGCGCTCGGTTGGCAGCATCATCCTCGGGGATAAGGAAAAGCCCGAGGTGACGCGGCACCTCAACGACACGTCCGTGACTGACATCTGCGAGCTCGGCGGTGACTTCGCCACGATGCGGGACGTGCATTACGAGGTCAAGTGCTGGAACCCGCTCATCAAGTCGACGACGGCGGGGAGGGGCTCGTGGGACAAAGGTGGCAATGTGGCGTCGGTGGGCCACCTCTACGGGTTTGGAAACACGCTGGACAAGGCGTTGACGGCGGTCGTGGGGTGCAAGGAGCGTGGCCGTCAGGTGGACGGACCGCTCGACAACTCGACTGGAAAGGGGATGGGTCAAAGACCACGCGTATGGAAAGGGGTGGGTCAAGACGGATACGGGCTGGAAGTGGATGGGCAGATAAGCCTCTCTCAGGATCTCAGACACCCCTCTCAGGATCACAGCACCGGCGGGGGGGCGCCTCAGGATCAAGCACCCACGGCAGGGTCTGTGGGGATCAGCAGACCTTGAGGGGGCGCGCTGAGGATCATAGGCCTGAGAGGGGTGCTGTCAAGATCACAGGGCTGCAAGGGTGGCACTCGAGATCAGAGCGCCAAAATAGGTGCAATACAGATCAGCGGCCGGAAGTGGGCGCAATAAGGATCATGAGCGCCGGAACGGGTGCAATAAGGATCACGAGCGCCGAAATTGGTGCAATTGACATCATGAAACCGTCGCGCGCCCAATCACGTGCGCTGGACCGGGTCGCTCATGCGCGTCCTGTCGCTCATGCGCTTGTCGCAGTACTACGACGCGGAGTGGGTCAAGAAAGCCATAACGCGGCTGGTGCTCGTGGAAACTTTGGGTGGCATTGCGCCGCCCACCAAGCAGTTCCTCCACGTGTTTGCCAAGGAGGCGGCGAGCACCAACACGGACCGGACGGTGTACGGGGCGGCATCGGCGAGCGCCTCCTCCTTCGTCGTCCACCACACGCAGCAGATCTCCATCCATGGCGGCGGTGGCGGGCGACGCCGGAAACATCAACAAGCAGGCGCGCAATGCGCGTGCCGACTGGGTTAAATCCCCTGGGCGTGCCAACTGGGTCAACGACGTCAAGAACAAGCAAGCGGCAGACGTCCTCTTACCCTCGGCCCCAGTGGAGGGCGCCCACGCCGCCTACCTAGCTCTGCGGGGGGCCCCTCCACCCTTCACGTACGGATCATGTAGTCCCCACAATCGCTGTCGTGGGATCGCTTGTCAAGGGGGGGGTTAAATAGTTAGAGGCTGCGGGTGCGGAGTTAAATTCTTGTTTTGCCGGACCCGTTTCTCTTGACGCGCCGGCGCCCGCCATGCCTTTCGTGCAGGTCACGACACGCCACAGGCATCGTCTCACAAGGTCTCTGGAGTAAAGATGGCCTGGTGATAGGTGACCTGGCTACCTAAGGCGTGCCGCAGGTCGACTGCGGTGCGCAAGCAGGTGGCAGATGCGATCCTAAAGGCGATGGTGTCGGTGAAGGGCGCCGAAATTGTGTGTAGATTCCTATCAGCTCGAATCTACGCGTCGCGCAGCGTCCTGATCCGTCTGCCGTTGCGAAGGCGCCGGAGAACCTCGTCGTTCGCTTTGCAGAGGCGGTGGACGGATACCCGCTCCCGAAAGGCACGCCTGAAGCCTCCGCCTTCCCCATCCCGGCCCAGCACCACACGAGAAACACTGTCGCTGGGTCCGAACCTACGACATGGCTATGGTTGCTAGCGCCATCAGCCACATCTCGCTCACGATTGGTTAGCGTCGTAGGCCACTCGCTCAATCCGGAGCTGCACATGGAGCCGAAAGACACCGAGGCCAAAAGATAGTCGCTATGCGCTGTTAATTGGGCGCACACCCCGCGACGGGATGGGTTGGTTATTGCGCGCGGCTCGTCGCGTCCATGTTTTCCTCGCTCTCTCCGGGCCGTCCGCTCGGGCTCTCGCTGTCGCTCACTCTCTCTCTCTGGGGTCTCTCCTCGCCCGACACACGGCTCCACGCGGACGCGAGTGAAACTGTGAAAGCCGCGCGCGCAAGCCAAGCCAATTATTTGCTCATACTCTCTACGGTAGAACAATACATATGGGACAACAGAGTACGGTGTAGTGTGGTGGAGCCTGGTGGAGATTGTACATGGTTGCGGGACATAATGCGACGCTCATCATGCGCCGCGATCCTGTCATTCATGCGCCGCGGGCCGCGCTCTTGGCCTCTTGCACATGGTTGCGGCGCTGGAGGCGGTGCAGACACAGTTGGGCCTCTAGCTTGCGCCTTTGGCGAGCTCGAAGATGGTGTGGCCGCTCGCATCCGTCGCTGAGGTGCGGTGGAAGCGGACGCTGTTGAGGTTGATGATCTTGCGCACGCTTGCCTTCCAGACTGGCACCTGTGGCGGCATGTTGAAGAATGGGCTCTCAGTCGGGAAAGGCGGGGCGGGTGGCGGTGCTGGCAGCGGATTGGTGGCGTCCCGCCTGCCGCGGCCCAGCCTCGAGCTCGGTGTTGAGCTGCGCGCTGAACTCCTCCTCAATCACGCTGTAGATGTCCTCGAGCGTGCCTCTCCGTGAGGGCAGCGCCTTGAGGGCGGCCGAGATCATGTCGCCGTAGGTCATGCCGCGCGCCCGCTTGCTGTTCCGCGGCGTCGCGCTCGCGTGGCCATTCGGCGCCCCGACCCCGCGTGCACCGCTCGGCTTGCCGCCGCGAGCAGCGGCCGTGGTGGCCCGCTTCTCCAGGCGCCCATTGCTGCTCCCTCTCCTCCCTCTGCTCGCATCGTGCCGAAGTAGCCCTAGCAACACCTACACGCATTCGTTCGATGGCGGGTGAGGGCAGCAGCCGCCAAGCTCGCACAGCTCGCACAACAAGCCCGCGTGCACCTGCTCCTCGTCAACCGCCTCGCACGCAAACGCCTCGCTGACGGCGACCGCCAGTGAACTGGACGCAAGGCTGGACTCCGGCTTGAGGCCGTAGTGCGCTGCGAGGCGATTCAGCGCTGGCCGAGGCAGCTTGCGGAAATCGCACACGGAGGTGGCGCCAGAGGTCATTCCCAAGTGGACGGGTCGCCTACCAGTGTCTTGCATGCAACCCTGAAAGTACCCGTGACCCGGACCCGCCAGAATAAAAGGGAGCACTCCCGATCCTATTTCTCTCTCTCACTCCCTCTCACTCACTCCCTATCTCTTCACACACACACACACACACACACACGCAACACACACACACACACACACACACACACACACACACACACACACACACGCAACACACACACACACACACACACACACACACAGACAACACACACACACACACACACACACACACACACACACACACACACACACACACACACACACACACACACACACACACACACACACACACACACACACACACACACACACACACACACACACACACACACACACACAAGAGGGAGAGAGAGAGAGAGTCGTGATTTCTGGTTGGTCTTCTTAAAATCTCACACACACATGAAACCCAAAAAACAACCCCCCGCCGTCCACCACCACACACACACACACATGAGAGAGAGAGAGAGAGAGAAGGGGAGATGAGCCTCCTTATTAGCTGGTCGGCCGCCATGTGGGCCTCCGGGCCTGCTGCGGCGGCGCGGCCGGTTGAGGCCGGGCTCGGCCCGGCCCGCGACGGCTGGCCGCCGACGAGCGCGCTCGCGCTGCTCGTCAAAATGGCGGCGGTGGCGATTGCGGCGACGGTCGTTCAGTCGTTCAGCGCTCAGGCGCCTGTCGTCTTTCGTCTTTTGTCGCATTTCGCACACGCGCGCGCCGCGCGACCCGCGTCGCTCCGCGAGGGCATGAGCCTTCCGCGATTCGATCCCGCAGCCAAAAGCTGCTCGCTCGAACCGCGGCCGACTCCGCCATCGCGGCCGCAGCTGTTGAGCTCTCCAGAAGACTGGCTAGAAGACTGGTGCCTCATATGCTGCCTCCCTGCGGATGCTGCCGGCGAGCCTGGCGGTCCGCTGTACTACAAGGAAGTGCTGGCTCGATTCTACCTCGAATTCTTCTACCCCCACGACTCGGAACGCGAATGTGACAGGACCATCGGGTCCTTCAGCCACCAAAGCGAGATCACCCGAGAGCAGCTGAGTCTGCCTCTGGCCTCGCCTCCCTCTCCTTCAGGCATTCGTGGCATCCTATGGGTCGTCCAGAGTATCGACCTCTGGCTTGTCAGCCGGTCACTTGATGACGACCATGAAGTACAGCGATCGCCACCTCGCTGGCCTCTCCGCAAGGCCCCCCGACCGCGTCGAACTCATCGGCGCGGGCTCTCTCGGCTACGGGACCGGCCCCAGCTTCGGCTGAGGGCTGACAAGCTGCCGAGTCCAAACAAATCACTGTGAGAGTCGTGATTTCTTGTTGGTTTTCTAAAATCTCAAAACACAACAAATTGCTAAAAAATCTCTCTCACATGAGAGAGAGACAATCTCACACATGCCCATTTCACAGAAAATACGTTATGGCGCTTTGCGCTGGTCTATGAGAGGTTGAGGTGCGAGCCCTGGAGGCCCTGGGGATGGGGGAGACTACCCGCGGGCCTAAAAAGCCCGCGCGCAGGGGGGTGGGATTGAGACTGGGGTGGTGCGCCTGTCTGGTATAGCCCCAGCCGACTCCGCTCCCTCTGCTCGGTGTACGAACTCTGTTCACAGCCTTGTTATTGAGAAGAAAATACCTCCTATGGCGCTGTGCGCTGGTTCACAGCCTTGTTATTGAGAAGAAAATACCTCCTATGGCGCTGTGCGCTGGCCTGTTCACACCGAGCAGCTGGGAGAGGCTGTGGCGGGTGGTGCGCATCAAGCGCCTAAGGAGGCGCAGGAGGCGCAGGCGCTTCGTGCTCTCGTGCCGTTTTGCTCTGGATGGAGACGCGACACGCGGCTCTGGGAGCGTTGGGAGCGTCGCCGCTGCTCGTCGTTCCGCGGCGCTCGTGGCGGCAGCGGCTCCTGTGGCCTCTCCTCCTCTCCGTCGGGGTCGTGGCGCTCGCGGCGAGCGGCTGGGGCGGGCAGCAGGCCGCCGCGCTGAGCATCGAGGTGGTCGGTCGCCCGATCGCGCAGAAGATCGTGGACCACGCCGAGGTCGAGATCCACGAGGTCCGGCTGGCGCCCGCCTCATGGGAGGGCCTGCAGGCCAGAGCGGGCATGCTGGCGGTTGACTGCTCGATCGACATGTCGGTCGACGTCATCTACACCGCCGTCCGGTCGACGCTCGGCTCGGCAGACCTGCACATCGAGCACGACGGGCGGCACGTCGGCGTCCTCTCGGCACGCGCCTCGCCGGGACTCCGCCACCCGGACGCACACACGCGAACTGAGAGCGCCGCCCGCCCTGCTCACAGACCCTGCCGCTCAACCTCGGCGGCGGCGGCAGCGTGCGGTTGGCGATGGCGGGCACGCTGGTGGTGGAGGACGAGGAGGCGTTCCGGCACCTCGTGCAGGCCGTCACGTATGGCGACCGCTTCTCCCTCCAGGCGACGCCCGACACAGCCTCCCAGCACGGAAGAGCGCTGAGGCCGGCCAACCCTCGAGAGCCCAGCCTCCGGAAGCAAGCCCCTCCCGAGCCGGCCCTCGCCTCCTCGCGCAGGTCGCGGCCATGACCTCGGTGGTCCTGCGCGGCAAGGAGAACGGCTGCCTCCTCTCCAAGGGCACTTGCGCCACGGTGCGCCTCTCGCCACCGCCCTCCCGCTCCCGCCGCTGCCCGCCGCCTGCCAACCCTCTGACGCCGCGCACGCCTCCGCCCGCGCCGCAGGTCGGCACGTGGAAGATCCCAAACGTGCGCTTCGCCAAGACAGTCAACCTGCTCGGCGCCAGAGGCTTCCCCGTCACGCTGCAGGAGAGACACATGCGCCCATATTGCACAGCATACCGCCAGAGGCTTCCCCGTCACGCTGCAGGAGAGTATCACACGTCATAATCATACGTAATACACTCATAGCATACTAACGTCGCGATTCACCGTCTCGCTGCAGGAGTTCCGCGTGCGCGACATGCCGGGCGAGGGGGGGGCGCCGCCGATCCCGGGCGCTCCAATCTTCATCGAGCTGCAGGCGCAGATCTCGAACCCGTCCTCCTTCTCCCTCTCCAGCCTCGACGTGATCGACCTCGACATCCACACCGACCGAAACGAGCAGACCGGCGTCGACGGAGTGCGCTTCGTGGCGGTGCGCACGCCGCCCGGCTTTTACGTCGCGCGCGGCACCTCTCCTTGGTGGCCCATCTCGGGCAAGCTCGAGGTGCCTCCGCGCGAGCTGGACATGTACTCGGTCTCGAGCCTCTTCGCGCGCCTCCTCAAGCACGACGCCAGCGACAGCAGGCTCGGCCTCTCGGTCGAGATGAGGGGCGACTCGCGCCGCTTCTACGACGCCGCCGTGCGCGGGCTCGCCATCGGCGCCGCCCTGCCTCCGCTGCAGCTGCAGAAGCCAGCCCACGGGAGCTCGATGCCCTACCCGTTCGTGCAGGCCGCGCACATCGACCTCGACATCCCGAAGGCCCCCCCCCCCCCCCCCCGCGCCGCGCGCGCTCCCGCCCCCAGGCCCGCCCCGGCCCCGTGCCGAAGCGCCTCGCCGCGCCCCTGGCCGCGCTCCCGGCCTCCGCAGGCGATCTTCACCCTCACCCAGCCCTTCGGCGACCACGTGATGAAGAACTACATCTGGCTCGACCTGCACAACCCGCTCGACGTCTCAGTCGCCGTGGTTGGCGTCGTGGCGGACATCACGACCGTGGACGGCGTGCACGTGGCGACGGTCAGCCTGCGCTCCTTCGAGAAGGAGGGGCTCGACCCCATCGTCGTTGCGCCGGCGTCCGCCTCGCAGACGGGCTACTACCCCCTCTCCCTCGACGGCTCCATCCCAAGCACCATCGGGCTCCTCACCGAGCTGCTCAACGGCCCAGTCCACGTGACGATCCACACGAAGGTCTTCGCGCACGTCGCCGGCATCTCCCCCATCATCGAGTACGAGCAGACCAACGTCACCGTCCGGCTCCACTAGCTCGGCCGAGACGCACCTTCCCCCACAGCGCGGAGCTTTTTGTTGAGCTGCCCCCCCTCTCTTGTACTTTGTGCTGTGCTGGTTGTGCTGTCGTTGGCCCTGTCGTCTAGGCGTTACGTGCAGGGGTGCGCGCGTTTCGTGCGAGTGATGCGTGTCTCATGCGAGGGCAGAGGATGTGTCCGTACCACATGTACTTGTAGAGTTATTTCTCTCTTATTACTTTGCTGAAATCCGGCGCGCACTCACGATCGCCATTCCTCACACATAGAGTAATAACTTATAACGAGCCGTATTCCGAGGTGCGCGCATGCCCTGACGCCTGAGAGCGCAGAGCCCTGGAGAGCCTCGGGTCTGACAGCCTGACAGAGCAAACCCCCACCCGGCACCCCCCGGACGCCCGGACAGCGCCTGACAGTGCCCCATAGCGGGTGGGTAGGCCCTAAAACGGCGGGAGGGGTAGGGCTATATCGATAGGGTTGCCTAACGTTAAGAGCTGAACAGTGTTGCTAGTGTTAACAGTAACAACAGAACAACAGTGGGGCCCCCGGCCAACAACAGTAGCTAACGTTAGGCCGGCTGAACAACAATAAGGAAGGCCTGGCAGTGACCCACGACGATCTCTAGTGTCCAGTGCGGGTAATACCCGAAAATACCCGGAAAATCCCAGGTATTTTCGGGTTTTACCCTGGTTTTTTGCCATTTTCTGCTTGCTGGCCGCTGAACAACAGTAACAACAGTAACAAACAGTAACAGCTTGGGCTGGGGAGAACACTTGAACAACGTTGAGGATTTCAGCCAACAATAGCGCAACTGTTAGGCCCCAAATTAACGTTAGGCAACCCTATATATCGACACGAGAGCTAGAGGGCTCAACCACCCCTCCACCCCTCCACCCTCCACCCCTCCACCCTCCCGGAGCGAGAGAGGTCCGTCTTCGAGCCCTCCCACTTCCACCCCTCCGACTGGAGGGCTCGCCAGCCCACGGGGCTGGAGGGTTCCCCGTCGGATCGGCGTCGGGAGGGCTCCACAGGGCTAACCCCCTCCTCGGACGCCGGGTGGGCTCGGAGGGACGGTCGGACAAGGGAGGATCTTCGTGGCGGGAGGGCTCGAGAGGGGTCGGAAGGGCCCTCCGGGAGGGGTCGCAAAAAGACAAAGAAAACGAAGTCGCGGCTTGTGTGACTGCCCCCCAAGAGGGCTCGGAGGGCTCGGAGGGCTCGGAGGGCTGAAGGGCTCCATTAGGGCTCGGAGGGGTCGATCCTCAGCTATTCGAAGGATCCGAGCCCTCCGACCCCTCCGAGCCCTCCGAGCCCTCCGAGCCCTCCGAGCCCCCCGAGCCCGGCTCGGCGGCTCGCCCCTCCGAGCCCTCCGGGCACTCCATCCCTTGTGAGCCCTCCCGAGCCCTCCCGAGCCCACCAGCGCCACCCTTGTGCCTCTCTGCCCTCCGAGCCCTCCGACCCCTCCGAGCTCTCCACCTCTCCCAAGCCCTCACGAGCCCTCCTCCGCCTCGCTTTTGGCCAGCTCTCCCAGCCCCCACCCCTCCGAGTGCCCTCCTGGGCCCTGCCGCCTGACACCTCAATCGGTGGAGGGCTTTAGGTCACGGTACACACTCCCGCCCTAGGGCTCCTACGGGAAGGCTGTCGACTGCCAACGCTTCGGCACTACGATTGAATGCGATGAGGCTCTCTATCTGGACAACATGAGGGAAAGGTCCTGCCACGAGGCACGCGACGCCTCACGACGCGGCGAGCCAAGAATACAAGTAATGTGCACATCGACATCGACATCGACATCGACCACCTGCCATGCGCCTACTGCAAGCGCTGGCGCCGGCTCTGGCGATGCGCCCACGATAGGGGCGAAGGAGCCAAACGAAGAGGGCGAGCGCCCCGAGACGCCACCCACTTCCGACGTGAGGGCGGACACCCCACCAGACCGCCCGCACAAGCCCGAGGCTATGCGCCAAAACGCTGGCGAGGACGACACCCTTGGGCCCGAATACGGAATGACGACGGTACAGGAAGCACCGGAGCGGGAACCGGACGCTGTCATTGACCGTCTAAACCTACTTTGCGAGAAACTACGCTACTGTGCGGCATGGGACGACGCCGCGCAGAATTACCACCTCTACTCCGAGAGTGGCTGTCCCGACATCGAGGACAATGCTGACCTGTGCGAGCTGTTCGAATTAGCAGCTCGGATGGGCTACATCATACACACGCAACGCCATCCCTGCAACCCCCCTGCGCGGGCGCTCGAGGTGGGGAGTGAGGATGAGGTGTGTAATGCTAGCGTGCACACGACAGTGCCGCAAACGGGCGCGCCCTGCACCGCGCCCGTCGCGCACCACGGATCAGACCTGTTCATTGACTCGTGCGGCGGACACAACGTCTTCAACGACAAGCGTTTTATAATGCAGCCACATCTGCACCGCCCGTCGAGAACCCGAATGGAGACAGGAGTTGGCAGCTCAGAGTGCGCTAAGTCCTTCGGCCCGATCGAATTCGAGATCAAGACCGAAGGAGGCGACTGGGTGTGCGTCCGTCGCCTCGGCTACTACGTGCCAGACTTCAATGCCAACATCCTCTCCCTTTTCCGGGACAGGAGGCTCTTCGGATCGACGATATCCACAACCAATCAAGGGGGTGTGCCAGTCGACACCCTGCACATAGACAACGCAAGAGTCACCCTGGGTTGGCGGCTGTGGGGAGTGAAAAATCGTGTGTCGGAGTGATGCCACAAGCGGACTGGCGTCGTGGCGGTGTAAAAACATTTTTGTGTGCGTATTTTATGAAACTTCTTTTCTGGGCTAACGAACCCCTGCCACATTGTGAAGTGGGCAGAAAGAAGGTGTGAACAGACAGGCGGATCGAGTGTGAAGAGACGCCATGTCATCGGACCCCAAACCCGTCGGCGGCCAGTGGCACAAGGCCGCGCGCGGGGAGTTGTCCCCCCCCAAGGGCGCGAGCGAGGAAACGCTCGTGCCTCAGCTGTTCACGGCATCAGTGCCGGACCCGCGTACCGTGCAGTCAACCACGGCCTATGGGCAGAAATAAATAGAAGCCGCCCGGGTTGCACAAGCGCGACAGCGATGAAACGGGCGCCTTCGAGAGCCCGATCGAGAGTGTCCTGCTCTCTGCTGACCTGCTGCCTTACGCACCTATCGCTGGCGATGTTCGCGCGCACGAATTCTTTTTTGTCGCTACCCCTGACTGCTCGGCGAATGCACCCGGCCGCTCTCTTCGCGGCGTCCTGGCGGCAGAAGCGCTCGTCCTTCGACGCCGGCTACGGGTCCGCGGCCCCAGCCCGCCCCTCCGCCCCTCCGCCCTTCCGCCTCCCCCCGCCCACCGCCGCACCCACCTCCGCAGGGGCGCCCCACCCAAGCGGCGAAAGGTGTTGAACTCCGCGTGGGGCTTTCGGAACATGCTCTCCTCTGGCGGGCTCCTGGATGACAGGGTGAGCTCCTCCCCGCTCGCCTGTCGCGGCGGGCGCCGGCGACGACCTGCCCGCTGCGCGCCCGCAGGAGAACGCCGCCTCGCTCATCAACCTGCGCGGCGGCGCCATGGCCCCCGTCCCCGAGCCGCCGGCCTTCGACTATGACCACGTCTTCCGCTCGCGGCCCGCCCCCGCTCCCGCGTCGCTCGCCGCCGCCGCCGCCGCAACTGCAAGCTGGGGCGAGGCGGTGCCTCGCACCGCCGCGCCGGCCTGCACGCCTCTCGGCGCCCGCTCCCCCGCGGCCCTGCGCGCCAGCGGAGCGGCGGCGGCCGCCTCGCCCGGCTTCACCCCGCTGCCCGCCGGGCTCGCCCGCTCGCCACTCGCCGCCTCACGCCCTTCAGCCGCCGCCACCTCCGCCTCCACCGCCTCCGCCTCTGCCGCCTTTGCCGCCGCGCCCGCCTTTGCGGCGCGGACCGCGGAGCAGCGCGCGGCGCTGGCGGCGGCCGAGCACCGCAAGAGGGTGGACGCGCGCGCGACTGCCGCCGCCAAGGCGGTCGCGCGGCAGCGGATAGAGGAGCGGCTGCGGCAGGTGATCCGCCGGAGAGGATCCCGAGACTTAGCCGGGAGGAGCGGGGAGAGCCGCGACCCGAGATCATCCGAGATGTGATCGAGGAGCCGCCGCGGCGGGCGGGCGGCGAGGAGGCGGGGCGGCGGCATCTCGGACCGCCTCGGCCCGCCTCTGCTCCGGGTTGCTCCCCTCTGACCCTCGGTGACCCTCGGGCCGCGCCTCTGCGCAGGTGAGTCTGGAGGAGGCGAGGCAGCGCCAGCTGGGCGAGCTGGCGGAGGACGCATCACAGCGGTGCCGCCGCGCGGTGGCGGCGGGCGAGGCGGCGGTGCGGCGCGTGGAGGCGCTGCACGCCGCCCTCCTGCTGTGCGGGGCCGCCGAGGCCGAGGCGGAGGCGGAGGCGGAGGCGCAGAGCATGAGCGAGGCGGTCGCTGCGGAGCTGCTGCCGGCGGCGCGGGCGGCGGTCGAGGCGGCGGAGGAGGGGGCGGGACTGTTCCGCGTCGAGGCGGCGGGCGGGTGCGAGGGCGAGGTAGCGGCGCACGAGGCTGCCCTCGAGCAGAGCCGCACCTCGATCTCGCTCGCCGAGGCGCGCCTCGAAGAGGCGGAGGCCAGGAGGAAGAGGCGAGGAGGTGTCTCGGAAGTGTCTCGGAAGTGTCTAGGCGCGGCTCGACGAGGCGGAGGCCGGGCTCGCCGCGCTGCGCGAAGCGGCGGAGGCGGCGGCGGCGGCGGCGGAGCAGGAGTTCTTCGAGCCGGACGCGGACGACGTACTCGACGAGAACTTCCCGCCCGGCCGGCGGCGCTTCGAGCCGAGGCAGCTGACCGAGGCGGAGGAGGCGCGCCTGCCCGCCCCTCCCGCGCGCGTGGCACGCGGCAGCCGCACCTCTGAACCCCCCCCCCCCCCCCTCTCCCCCTCCCCGCGCGCCAGGCGGCGGTGAGCGAGATCCTGCAGCCGGGCAACCCCGCGGAGAAGCTCTTCGAGATCAACAACACGCCAATCACGCGCAAGGACATCGCGACCCTCAAGCCGCTCGAGTGGCTCAACGACGAGGTGAGACGTAGCCGAGATCACCAGAGATGGCACGAGACTGGGCATGCGCCGCGCACCACCCCGCCCCGCCTCGCCACGCACCTGGCTGGAGAGCGCCCGAGGCCAGAGGCGCGCTGCTGCGTGGCGCAGGTGATCAACTGCTTTGTCGAGCTGCTCAGGCAGCACGCCAGCGAGGCGGAGCAGGCGGGCGAGCCGCTGCCGAAGGCGAACCCCCCCCCACACACACACACACTTACACACACACAAGGACCGCCCCGCCCCCTCTCCCCTGCCCTCTCTCCTGCCCCGCCCCCTCTCCCCCTCTTCGCCCTTGCCGGCCTTGCCCCGCCGCCGTCGGCCCACACCGCCGCGCCGAGATCTGCCGCGCCGCTGGCCCCGCCCCTCGCAGGTGCACATCTTCAGCAGCCTCTTCTACACCAAGCTCGCCGAGTCGCCCGAGTACACATACGGCAACGTCCGCCGCTGGACCAAGCGGGCCAAGGTCGACCTCTTCTCGCGCGACCTGGTCATCGTGCCCATCAACCAGGGCAATACGCACTGGACGCTCGGCCTCATCAACCTGCGGCAGAAGAGGTTCGAGTTCATCGACTCGATGCACGGCTCGGACGGCGGACGGCTCGCGGTCCTCCGCCGCTACCTCAAGGACGAGCACCAGGACAAGAAGGGCGCGCCGCTCGACCTGGGGGAGGACTGGGTCGACATTTCGTACACCGCCGCCGACGGCACGCCGCGCCAGACAAATGGGTTTGACTGCGGCATGTTCATGTCGCGCACGGCCGAGTATCTCGTGCGCGACGCCGTGCTAGACTTCACGCAGGCGGACATGCCCAACTTGCGCCGCAGGATGGTGTTTGAGCTGAGTCAAAAGGCGCTGACGGACTGAGAGCCGAAAGAAAACCTGCTGGCGTCTGTGTTTTGTGCGTGTATTACACTCTCTGCGCACCGCGGAAAAGGAACCGCACAGACGTGAGACCGGGACTCCGGAGAGAGGGAGTCCAGAGTGTCACACCGGTGAGAGTGACGCAGTGAGAGCGAAGTGCAAGTGGCGTGAGAGACAAGACGACGAAGATCGAAGTCTCTCAAGAGTGCAAGACCGCAAGACGAGTGCCACTGCGGCGTGCGGGTGTGGCATGTGCCGGGTCGACTCTCGCGCCCCGTCTCGGCACTCGGGTCGAGTCTCGATACTCATAGACGGTCATATACTTAAAGCCGTATGAGGACCACAGGGGAAAAGACACACCCAGACACATGTCAGTGGGTATCTGATAACGACCGCCGGCGCTGGGCCTGGGCGTCGCCGGTGTGAAAAAAGGTCGCTGTCAGTAGTGGGCGGGTAGTGAGTGTTGCACACAGTGGCTGCGGTCATCGGTGTACCGGCTCTGCTCTGTACACACACTATACTATAATGCGAGCAGCTGAGATCAATAAAGCTCTCTCTCACAACACTAGGCACGGGACTGGCGCGAGCCGCCTCTCTATAAGCGACGTAGTACTATAGAAAGCGCATACCGAGCCCTCCACGACCTTCAATGTTCAAAAAAGACACACTGGCATGACCATGCTTCTAAAAAAAAATGCTTTCGAAGAAAAACGGGCTCGCATACTCTCCCCCCTCCATTCTCTCCCCCTTGGCGCTCCGTGTAACGCGTACTGGTGTAGGCTAGGTGTGCGGGGCGAATGAGTGATGAAGTTAGTGCCTTGGGAGTCCGTTCCCCATGGTGGCTTCCCCTGGTCTTTAGCGACCATGAATGAGAGCTCTCACTCTCAGGGTACTCCCGCGTATCTCGGCTCCCTTATCCCCCCCCTCTTCCCTCTCCCTTCTCTCTCCGAGATGACCCGTGCGCTACGTGTCTAGGTTTGGTCTTCGGGGGAGGGGGACTGTGACTCTATTGTGTATCGTCGGTAGATGGACGCCCAACAGTTTCGATTTCCCTCCTTAGCGCCCCGGGTAGAGCGTGGCCTCCCCTGGAGCCTGCCACGCCCGTTCTGTCTAAGCCCAGGGTTCAGCTTTCCAGTTGATCCTTATCGGACTGGTGAGTTCCTTCTCGCTGTCAGTGTGACGTCCCGGCAGTCATTGGCAGCGGTGCTACACACACTACGCCGTTTTTCGTTTGACGTTTCCAAAGGGTGTTTTTCTTTTAGCAGAGTTTTATGGGCTAGCGAGCAATTTTTATGGGCTAGCGATGTCACAGTACATGCGCACTAGTTTGGCAGCGATATGACCATGCTTCTTGCTTGTTGTCGTGTGCAGCAAATTGGTAGTGATTTTTGTCCTCGGCGGAGGGGGAGAGAGAGGGGGTGGGGGCCGCTCTCTCCGCCGTCCGCGCGCCCCGGCGCACCGCGCCCGACTCCTTGAGCGTCAATATCTCTTTCGCTTGGAGTACACTTTCTAGAAACTAGAACTATTGACGTCGAGTGTCGCGCGTCGCCGTCGGTCCGTACACCGTACACCGTACACGGTACACCGGCTCATCGTTTGTACACGTGTGTCGTGTCGAGGTGTGTGCTGTGTCGCGTGACCTCGCTCGAGACATCGAAAGTATCTAGACTGGCCCCTCTCCCTGCTCCCTGCTCGCGCCAGAAAAAAGCTCTCAGGAGGAGGTGGAGCAGGCGGCGGAGGGGGACGGCATCTCGAAGAGAAAACGGGGGGGCGCTCCTCCGGACAAAGCGCCCAGGCACGCCACCACCGCAACCGCTCGGGGAGAAGGGTGCGGAGGCACCGCGGGGCCGTCGCCGTCGCCGTCTTCACCGCCGGCAGCCAAGAGCAAGCCGAGCCCTGTACCACACCGGGCGGCGCGCACCGGCCGTTACGATCGAGGGGCAGTGTGTGGAGGCGGCGTGATAGGATAGGGAAGGGGAGTAAGCACCTGCCGACGGGCTCTCCGCGCCGGCCGGTGCCCCGCCGGTCGCCTCCTCCGCGGCGTCGGACGCGGCGGCCAAAGGCTCCAGAGGCTCGTGCGTCAGCGTCGCGTGCACAAGCAAAGCGGCGTCGGCCTGGCGCCGCTGGTCGGTCGCGTGGGCCGAGGCCGGATCTGGCTCCCGCCCCTCGAGCGTGCGCGCGAGCAGGCCGAGGTCGAGGCCTGAGGGGAGGGGACGCGTCCCGGACAGGTCACGACGCATCTCGTGCTGCCACCTCTGCCGAGACAGAGTAGCGAGGGGCCGGAGGCGAGCAGCTGGCGAGCGAGCTCGGCGGCTTGGTTCGGGCTCGCGAGCATCTGCTGCGCCGCCGGCGGCCCGCCCAGCTGCCCGCCCAGCTCCTGCTCGCCCGAGCGGCCCGTCGCCGCAGCCCTCTCCCGCTCACTCTCCCGCTGCGCCTCTCGCCGCCGCATCCGCTGCAGCTTGCGCGTGAGCGCGTTCCACCGGTTCTTGATCGCGTTGTCGCTTCTGCCGCGGGAGTGTGAGCGCCGCTCACCTCCCGCGAGATACCGCGAGATCGCCCGAGGTTTATCCAGATCGCCCGAGGTTTATCCGAGATCGCCCGAGGTTTATCCAGATCGCCCGAGGTGTATCCGAGATCGCCCGAGGTGTGTCCGAGATTGCGTCCGAGAGAGTCTGCCGCTCCTGCCGGGGATCTCCTTGACAATCTGGCACCACCGCGTGCCGTGCCTAATTAATAGTTGATTAATAATCAGGCAATTGATTAAAAATATTAATCTGGCACCACCGCGTGCCGTGCCGGGCGACCGCCGCGACGATTGCCTGTAAGAGGGGGAGGCAGACGTCCTCACGCACGCGCCAAGGGCCAGGCAATCCCCGCCGCATCTCCCAGCTCATTCGAATCCTTCCTCTCCCACGCGCACGCGAGCGTGTGCGTGTGAGCGTGTCCGCGTGCGTGCGTGTGCGTGCGCGCGCGTGCATGTGCGTGCATGTGCGTGCATGCGCGTGCGAGCGAGCGAGCGGCGGCAGGCCTTGTCCTCCTCCGCTGTGAACTTCTCCTTCTTCACATCGGGGGTGAGGTGGTTGTGCCAGCGCTCGCGGCACTGCTTGCCGATCCGCCCCGGCAGCGCCTCCGAGATGCGAGACCAGGAGCCCGGGCCGTGCTGTGTGACCTGCGCGCGGCACGGGCAAGGCTCGGCCAGGCAGGAGGTCGAGGCACGGGGCAAGCGAAGGGAGACGGATCGGCGTGTGGCAAGTATGTCGGGCTTGCTGACCGCGGGAGAGAGCGTGTGGGCACGGCACGGGAGAGAGCGCAGGCCAGGGGCGGCGGGGCGGCGCGTGCCAGCCTCAGAAGGAGGGCGTCCTCCTCCTTGCGCCAGGGCCGCTTGGGCGGGTGGTTGCCAACGAGGGGCGGGAGCGCCACAGTGGCACTCGGCAGGGGGGCCGCGGCTGCCCAGGTGGAACTTTGCGCGGCAGCCTCGATAATCGGGCCGGCGGCCCCGAGTGGCGTCGCCACCACGTGCGGCGTGGGCGGGTCGTGCGGGCTCCCGGCCGCGTGCGGAGCGGCGAGCACGGCCAGAGGCAGCTCGAGAGGCAGCTCCACCGCCGCCAAGAGCGGCGCCATCTTCGTGTGCGGCGGGGGGCGGCTTCGCCTTGATGGCGCCGTCGAAAAGAATTTCAATTCCGAAACGATCTCTCTCGAGGTTCTCGACAAAATAGCGCCCGTGATTGCCTGCACGCTACCCGCACTCACGGACTCCATACCCGAAAGAAAGAGAAGGGAGCTCGCGGGAGAGGTGACGAGTGAACTACAGGTAGTGGGGAAGGCAGCCTCAATTGCCATACAGACATGGGTGCGAAACAACGACAAGACCAAGGCACGGGCAGAGGAACGAGAGAAGAATATAGGGTGGATAAAGCGCCTGTTCACGGCATGGAGGGTGAGCCACACCGAACGTACCGAGCGAAGAGCCGAACGGAAGGAGGACGGGGAAGATGACTCCGAGGAGGACGAACCAGTGGAAATCCAGTTGTCAGATGTCACGATGCATCCGAAGGGGACCCCAGCGCCGGCATCATCCGTAGAGGCACGAGTGTTCGAAGAGAGAGTGGACCTGAGCAACAACATGACCTGTAGGCAAATGATCGGAGTGGGAGTCAGAAATGTGGTCCTTGCGCGAGGGGAGCTCGATAGACTCGAGGGGCCAGGATACGCCGCGAGGAGGACGGAGTTGCGCCGAAAGGCGAAAGAAGCCGCGAGAACAAGGGACCGGCAGGCGGCGGCGTCGCAGGACGAGGCAGAAGAGAACGACGCGACAGAGGAGGAAGTGACAAGGGAGAGAACGACGAGGGTGGGACGACCGCGAGGTGGCATGAAGGTTGCAGCGAGAATCGGCGAGAGACTGCGAAGAGAGATAGGAAGAGGCAGACTCCCTAGGGTGGGCGACGGATAGCGCACCACACACCTCTCCTTAAAATCCCTGTGTGTGGTGGCGGCGTGCCGTCCTCCCATCCCTCCCTTGGGTTGTCTGTTTTCTTTCTTTCTTTCGAGGTTCTCGATGTGGATATCCTTTCGCCGCGTTGGGTAGCGAGGATTGGTGTAACCCGAGCCACGGAGGCGTGTTTTCTGACGGCCGACCGTCAGTGCACGGAGTTGCCCCTTCTCCGACTGCCCCGGCTAGTTCCCGAGGTCGCGCGGAGGTGTGAACACAAACTTGCCGCCCGCTTCATCGTTACATTTCCGGGGCCACAAATGTCCTGCTCGTGCTGCGGGGTTGCCGACGCACACGAGGTCTTCAAGCCGCGTCGGAAGCGCTGGTGCACCGACATTGCGTGCCTGGTGCTCTTTGTCGCCGCGCTAGTCTACTTTGGCGGCTTCTTCGTCGTAACCTTCCTCAAGGACCCGACGCTGCTCGACGACATCATTTACCCAAAGGACCTGTACGGCAACTACTGTGGCAAGCCGGGAAGCGCCACCGCCGACTACCCCAAGGCGGTGTTTCCGACGCTCGACGCCGACATCCTCATCCCAGAGAACCTCGCCTACCTCTCCACAGGGCAGTATTGGAACTTCAGGCCGACCGTCTACTGCACGCAGCAGTGCCCCGAGGGCTTCTCCCTCAAGGCGCCCGTCGCCTACGGTGGAGCCTCGTACCCCGGCGCACAGCAGCCACCAGTCATCTACTACGCGTACCAGACGCAGGACGTCCTCTCGCGCTGCTTCCCCCTCGACACCACGACGACGTACGAGCGGCTGCAGCTCTGCGCGACGCCCGCGTGCACAAACGCGACGCTCATCTCCCAGCTCTCCGGGTCCGTCTCATGCTACAACGTCGAGTCGCAGCCGGAGGCTGACAACGTGTGGCAAATGTGCGGCAAGGGAGTCTCCTCGTCCCTCTGCACGCAGCAGCAAGACGCGTGCGAGCTGGCGATAGACGTGGCCGACACGCAAACCTTTGTGCCCGTGGAGCAGACGACAGAGTCGGAGGCCTTCACGAAGCAGTACGCCTCGTACGTAAAGACGGCCATGGGTGCAGTCGAGTCGATCATTGTCGGTCCGGGGCTCGTCACCTTCCTCGTCGGAGGATTCGCCGCGCCGCTGCTGCTCGGGTTTGTGTGGGCGCTCTTCCTGCGGCTCTTTGCCGCGCCACTCGTCTACACGCTGGTGACCTTCTACGTCCTCCTCTGCATCGGCGGCTCGTGCTACCTCGCCATCAAGGCGGGCTGGCTCGACTCGTCGGATGAGATCACCAGCGCGCTCGCCTCCCTCTCCGACGCCGTCTCCGCCGCCGGCGTCTCGAGCAACATTACCGACTCGCTGCTCTCGTCGGCCGAGGCGGAAGAGAAGACGCTCTTCTCGGTGCTCGCGGTGATCGCGATCATCTTCACCGTCCTCTCGATCGTCGGCCTGATCGCCTGCCGCAAGGCCATCAAGCGGCTCGTCGCGATGATCCGCGAGATGACCAAGATCTTCAAGGACATGTTCCTCATCCAGCTCTTCCCGCTCCTCTCGCTCCTGCTCCAGCTCGGCCTCTTCGTCTTCTTCCTGCTCGCGCTCTACTTTGTCGGCTTCGTGTGGGAGGACCAGGAGTGGTACATCTACGCCGGGCTGCTGTTCTCCTACATCTTTGGCTTCCTCTGGTGCGTCCAGACCGTCCGCGCCATCTTTTGGACATCGATGTCCGCCGCCATCGCGTGGTGGTACTGCAACCGGAACGCGCCCTCCAACAAGTCAGCCTCGCGCTGCTGCCCCGGCTCGGGCGCCCCGCTGCTCCTCTCGTCGCTCTTCACCGTGCTGAGCAAGCACGTCGGCTCGGCCGCCTTTGGAGCCGGCATCATCGCCATCGTGCAGGTGCTGCAGATCGTGATGCACGCGCTCAACTCGGTCACCAAGAAGCGGCAGGCCGACTCGAACTTCCTCAAGTACGTGATGAAGTGCGCGCTCTGCTGCCTGCACTGCCTCGAGAAGACCATCAAGTTCATCTCGTACTTTGCCTTTGTCTACGTCGCCGTCCGCGGCTCGTCGTTTTGCCGCGCGGCGAGCCAGACCTTTGGCCTGATCGCCGCCAATCCCGGCCAGGTCGCCATCAACAAGATGGTGCAGAAGCTGCTCGGGCTGCTCATTGGGCTGTCGACGCCCATCGGCTGCTGCCTCGCCGCCTTCTTCTTCCTCGAGTCGCAGACCGAGTACGCCGCCCAGTACGAGCCAATCTACTGCGCGATCGCGGTGCTTGTTGTATCGTACCTCGTCACGGACGCTCTCGTGGTGTGCTTCAACGTCGGCATCGACACCATCTTTGTCTCCGCCTTCAAGGACATGGCGGAGAACAAGCCGCCAAAGTTCATGTCGGACTCGTTGCGGCGCGGCTTTGGCCTCCCGAGGTACAAGGACGGCGGCTACGAGGAGATGGACGACGCGGACGAGGAGGAGGAGACGGAGCCCGCGTTGCAAAAGGGCTCGCCGCATAGGAAGGGGCAGAGCGGGAAGAAGGTGGCGCCGGCGTGGGAGGCGGGAAGCGACGTGTAGCCGCCGAGCGCGACCCGTACTGATGTGAGAGTGTCCATTATTCCCCAGCATGTACGGCGTGTGTTGTGTGTGTGTGGGGGGGGGGGGTGACACACACACACAACATGTGTGTGTGTGTGTGTGTGTGTGTGTGTGTGGGGTGTGTGTGTGTGTGTGTGTGTGTGTGTGTGTGTGTGTGTGTGTGTGTGTGTGTGTGTGTGTGTGTGTGTGTGTGTGTGTGTGTGTGTGTGTGTGTGTGTGTGTGTGTGTGTGTGTGTGTGTGTGTGTGTGTGTGTGTGTGTGTGTGTGTGTGAGTGTGTGTGTGTGTGTGAGTGTGTGTGTGTGTGTGTGTGTGTGTGTCCGTCACAGAGAGTCATTTTGCAGACTGCCACAACTGGCTCTCAACCAAGCGGGTTGCCAAGCCAGTAAGCAGTATACTCTATAGCGGGCGTGGAGATGCGAGGGTCGCCCCCCCTTGCCCCACCACTTTGTGTGTGTGGAGAAATCTACCTTACCTTACCTCACCACTTTGTGTGTGTGGAGAAATTTACCTTACCTTACCTTACCTTACCTTACCTTACCTTACCTTACTCTATAGCGAGGTTAGCGATATGACCCGACAAGAACAACACTCAAAACAGCAGGCGAGAGGTGAGACTACTTGAAACTGACCATGTCTAGAGACTATAGTAAAACCCGATGCCCAACATGACACGACATAATACGAGCGCGCCTGGCCAGCCTCTCAGCCGCTCTCGACCTGCGCGAGCCGCGAGAGCGCGGCGTTGTAGTAGCCGCCGCCAAAGAGGTTGTAATGGTTGAGCTGGTGGTACGCCTCGTACAGCGCGAAGCGGCGCTCGAAGCCCTCGTCCTTTGGGACCAGCGAGCGGTAGCCCTGCCAAAAGGCGGGGCCGAGCGACGCGCACCAGCTCATGCCCCACTCGGCCTCGTGGTGGCCGTAGTAGACCGCCGGGTCGAAGATGCAGGGCACGCCCTTCGCGGACGCGATGTTGCCGCTCCACAGGTCGCCGTGCAGCACCGACGGCTTGACGTCCAGCCCCTCGAACAGGTCCGCGAGGCCGTCCGTCGCGTCGAGCGTCGCCTCCCACTGCTTGCGGAGGCGCGCGTCGGCAGCCTTACGCACCTGGAAGCCGATCCGCTTGTCGCGGAAGAACTCGACCCAGGCGGCGGTCCCGCTGCCCGCGGTCCACGCGTTTGGCTGCGGCGTCGCGCCGATGGTGTTGTCGACGTCGAACCCGAACCTGCCCTCCCTCGCCTCCTTGGCCAGCGGCTCCGCGAGGTGCATCTGAGCCATCAGCCGGCCGAACTCCTCCTGGTCGACGCGCCCGCCCATGTCCATGTACTCCATGATGAGAAACGATCCGCCGTTGGAGCCGTCTTCGAAGGCAAACACCTCTGGCACCGCCATCGAGCCCGAGGCGCCGAGCGCGCGGAGGCCGAGCGCCTCGCCGAGGAACATGGACTCGAGAGGGCGCGAGCCGGACGCCTTGACGACCAGCTCCTTCTCGTGCCCCTCGACGGCGTAGCGCGTGAGGCTGGCCCAGCCGCTGCCGCCGCCCATAGACCGCTTCGACGTGATGGAGCCCAAGTTGCTTGTGATCCACCGCTCCGCGTCACTTGCAATGCTCATCCGTGGCGTGCCGGCGCGCAGGGCGAGGGCGGCGGCGGCGACGGCTAGCGGCAGCGCGAACATGCACGATGCACCCGTCGGAGAGATGCTTCCTCCGCACCCGTCGGGAGGTGCTTCCTCCGCGCAGGAGTGCGAGAGCCTATGTGTCGGTGTAATCACAGCCCCACCCCCCCCCGGCCAGGAGCGGGAGAGCCAGAGATGCCGTCGACAACTGTCATGTCGGTAGCCGCTCTGCACCGCTCGCTGCTGGTGCGCGGTTGATCGCGGCGCCGACGCCGCGGCGGCGCCATCTCGCGCGGCGAGAGACGGCGCTGGCTGCATCGGCGCCAACCAAACAAACGGGAGGTCGCGGCGCGGCCGCGGCAGCAAAAACATCGACGTTCGCTTCTGCTTCTCGTCTCGTCTTGTCGCAGGCGCACACGCGCGCGATCCGCGTCGCTCCGCGACGACACGACCACCGGGATTCGAACCGGCAGCATAAGAGCGCCGGCTCGAACGCCGGCCGATCGTGCCAGTGTTCGAAGAGAGAGTGGACCTGAGCAACGACATGACTTGGAGGCAAATGATCGGAGTGGGAGTCAGAAATGTGGTCCTTGCGCGAGGGGAGCTCGATAGACTCGAGGGGCCAGGATATGCAGCAAGGAGGGCGGAGCTGCGCCGAAAGGCGAAAGAAGCCGAGAGAACAAGGGAACGGCAGGCGGCGGCGGCGCAGGACGAGGCAGAAGAGAATGACGCGACAGAGGAGGAAGTGACAAGGGAGAGAACGACGAGAGTGGGACGGCCGCGAGGTGGCATGAAGGTTGCAGCGAGAAGCGGCGAGAGACTGCGAAGGGAGATAGGAAGAGGCAGACTCCCTAGGGTGGGCGACGGCTAGCGCATCACACCCCTCTCCTTAAAATCCCTGTGTGGTGGCGGCGTGCCGTCCTCCCATCCCTCCCTTGCGTTTCATGCGTTCTTTCTTTCTTTTTGCCCGCGTTCTGTTTTGTTGAATTCTTTTTGCCCGCGCTCGCCACTGCCAGCGCCAATATATTTATGGCCAGCGCCAGCGGCAGCGCTCTCGCCGCACCCACCACCGTCCGCACCAGCGTGCACTTCACCCCGCTCCGCGGCTCGTCGGGCGGCGCAGCGCCCTCCGGGCTCCTCGAGGTGGACGGCCTCACACTCCTGCTCGACTGCGGCTGGGAGCCGCCGTTCGACGTGTCCGTGCTGGAGCCGCTGCGCGGGGTGGCCGCGCGGGTGGACGCGGTCCTCCTCTCGCACGGCGACCTCGCGCACGCTGGAGGGCTCGCGTTCGCCTTTGCGCGGCTCGGCCTCTCCTGCCCCGTGTATGCGACGCTGCCCGTCTCGCGGCTCAGCAAGCTGGCGCTCTACGACGCGCACGAGGGCGTCGCCGAGCAGTCGGCGGCGGGCGCGCCCTTCACGCTCGACGAGATCGACGCCGCGCTCAGCCGCGTGTCCGAGCTCAAGTACTCGCAGACCGTCCTCTTGTCGGGCCGCGCCGCCGGGCTGAGCCTCACTCCCCTCCCGGCGGGCGGGTCGCTGGGCGGCGCGATGTGGCGCGTGAGCAAGGCGCTCGAGGAGGTCCTCTTCCTCCCCCGCTTCTCGCACCAGAAAGCGCTCCTCGCCGCCGCCGCTGCCGCAAGGCCCGCACCCTTCCCGCACCCTTCGCGCACCCCTCGGTAGGAGAGGCTCCTCGCCGCCGCCGCACTCGAGGAGCTGCCTCGCCCGACCCTTCTCCTCGCCGACATCGGAGCCGCGCGCGCAAACCCGCTGCCGCGCAAGGCTCGAGAGGCGCGGCCCGCCTCCCCCCCGCCCTCTCCCTCGCCACCGCACCTCCCCCCCGCCCTCTCCCTCGCCACCGCACCTCCCTCCCATACTCTCCCTCGCCACCGCACCTCACTCCCGCCCCCCCCCTCTCCCC